CTAGACATGTAGCAATAAAAACCTGGATTGTAGCAATTAAAATTCAAGTTCATACATAACTTTAAATATTTTGGAAATTTTTAAAGTTTGTTGCATATTTATTCCATGTTTCAATCTACTCTGCTCGATATTTTATAAGTGCATTAAAGCAAAACTATAGGTACATTTTTGATCTCTATAAGGGTACTAGGATAACAGGAAAGTTATATTTTATATGTCACTCATTCATCATATTTTCTTTGAAATATTTTCCGCGGTATGGGACGAGGGAACGAGAGGGAACGGGATGGGACGTGACGGGTCGTTTCTTAAGTTTACAGTGCACTGGACATCAGTCTTGTAACTTTTATCAGATCGCATTGATTCAATCGATTCTTGGATTTTTTAACGTACTTAGAAAGGAAGCAGTCGATTGAAGAACACAGTTCAAATAAATCGACTTTTTTTGCGGCTTTTATTGATTTTCGAACAAGATATAACCATCGTATAATTTGTAATAATATTCTTTTAAATCGATTTTGATATTAAAAATTAATATGAAATACGTATCTTCGAATAAATTTAGACTGGTTTAAACTCGTGCTGGTTAAAACATGTGTCAATTCTATAAGTTTTCACAAACTTCGATGTTTTAAAAACTAGTTTATATAATTTCTCTAAAGGCACGATAAGGATATCTAAATATAACCTCAGATTCGTTAACATAATAAAACAATAAATCGTTATTCACATATGCCACTTCAACGCGAAGTCATCATGTCCACTGACGCGCGCCAGACACCAAAACAACCCAAAACAGTTGTCACCATTCATTCAAAATTGAATCTTAAAGCTATTGAATTAAGTACACGTATTGTTTGCAACATTTTCGAGCAAGTGCGTGAACTTAAGACGCTGTGTGACAAGCGCTGTATGTGAGAACGGATCAGAGAGTCCATTTCCCACGCGTGCCACAGTACTCATGTATAGGGTTGCCATTATTACGTTTTAATTTACAAAATATGTGAAAAAAAATTGAATATTTAATTATAAATAGAACAAGTATAAAGTCAATTGTTATTAGTATTTATTAGATCTTACATCGAAATTCATGATCCAAAATTGCTTAGTGGAACATGCAACTGTTTACCACTTAGGGTTGTGTCTCACTGAAATGACTGCCTAACAGGTAAATAACTTTAAGAAAATCTTTGAATTCTTCGTTCTATTGCTGTATTGAAGCCTACTATACTAAGTCAAGAAATCCAATCTAGTCTTAAAATCTATTGGAAGTGAATTAATAAAAAGCTTATAAGGAAGCGACGACCTAACTTCAGAAAAACCTAAGCGTCAAACTAATCTCTTGTTACTTCTTGATTAACATCATCCTTTATGGTAATGGAGGAACATCGTCCTCTAGATTAAAGTCAAGGGGTCACCCTACCAACCATAAACAAAGACACCCACGCCTCTGTAACCACCGACGTCCACTGTTAATGAATCGAAGTGATGCATAATACATGCACGTCGGACTGCGTTTGATATCTACACAAATATTTAATTATAAAGGCAAATTAAAATATTGAAAGCTCGAGCGCCTTACAATGATAATCTACGTTCCTGATTCAATTATCGTCTATTATTTCCTTAAAAAAAAAATGGAGTTCTTTGCCTATTTACATTTCATCACGCATATAGAGATATCAAACATATTCAACTTTAGAATGACCATAAGTAATTGTTAGGTAAATAACTAAAAGCATTTATAATTTTATTTATAATTAATGACATCGTTATATAAATGTCTTGTGTCTTTTGGTTAGTTTAAACACGTGCCTTTTAATAATATCCAGCGATCTAAGAAAAGGAAAAAATATGTTATTTATTGCTTAAAAAGGGCAAGAAAATAGACAAGTCGTAATATTTATTTTATTTAAATATTTTACCTTAACGCCATAGATTTTCTTAATGTGACAGAAGCTACACGTCTTTGCAGTGTCATGTTTATATCGTGGGTGTCAGTGATTACACTCTACAGTTATTTGTATGCTGATTTGAAATTCTATACGATTTCTTTAAACGTAAACATCTATAACGATCATTCAGGCCAGCACGTGGGCGAGTATCCAGACACAAATACAGCTGCTTTGAGACTATCCTTATCTATAAATGTATGTATTAAAAGATGTATCTCGTTAATGTAAACTGTTATTAGTTAAATTTACGCATGGTAATAAATGTAACACTATTGAGGGAACCAAGCTGACAAACATATAGCAAAAACTATCAAATTGGTTTTGTTTTATAACAAAACCAATTTGATAGTTCAGCAAAATCGATTTCGTGTACATTTTTTTAACTCGGCACCAAGTAAAATCTTTTTCAATATCATCTGGTATACAAATGATTTTAAGTTGTAATTTCTTATTGAATTATTACATACTGTGTGTCTTGCCGACACTGTAAGCCGTTAACAAAAACATTAAGTTTTATTTTTCGCACTAACGCAACAATAGTTTAAAGCGCACGACTAGCATTGTTTGCGCGAGCGCTGATCCTCCGCAAAGCGTCGCAGGAAGTAAACAGGTAAAGTATATCACACGAGGGTACAACAGTTAGGTAGAGTAGTGTACATTGCAGTACAGATATTGTTTTAACGTACATCGCCAAGTCAGAACCCCATAGTAACGATATCGTGATATCCCTAATCAAATGTCAAGAATGTACGGAACTAACACATTTTAGTCTGGCGATAATAATAATCGTATGTAACTTTATCTATGGGCTTTGACAGAAAGTGTGCGCTCCAACAATAGCAGCAGTGCCCTGTATACTGCTCTGTACGTCAATGTTCCTTTCTACCCTTGTGTGAAACTAGTACAAAGATGAATATTAAATGTGCCGCTATCTTTTGTCTATTGTCTCTGAATCTGCGGCGAGCGCTTGTGCCTTATTTGACGTATTGTTTTAAAACCATTTTATAGCTACATAAAGTAAACTCGTCATGAATTGTGTAAAACTTTTTGTACTAGCAACGTCACCTAACGGATGTTTAAAGATTTCGTTTCAGAATCATAAAACAGATTACCTGTAATGCGTTTAAAAAACGAATATTGGAAAATGATACAGCTGTGTTTTAATTACAGAAATTAACAACAGTCACTTTCATTGACAACTTTTGTCTATGGACATTCGGTTAATTTATCTATGTATTCCAAAACTCTTATCTCAAATCGTAACTTTAAAAAGTCAAAAAAAAATCTATACATTGTCGTTGGCAATTGTAAATAAATTATAAAGTAAAAAAAAAACATAATTATTACATTAATTACTCAAAAAAAAGCTTTGGTGAAAATTTTGCTGAACTCCTACAACATTCATGTGGTTTTTTGTTAAATTTCTTAATGACTCGTAATTATTTAAACGCTTTAAAAAGTTTTTATTATTTAACGACCAAAAAGGTTTAATGAAAATACAACCTATTTAACAATCATAGGCGGCTCGCGCCAAATCTTTACCTGCTTCAAAAATTACCGCTATGGTTGAATTGTGTCCTTTGAACGTCTACCATTTATTACTTAAGGGTAGTTTTTTTTTAAACCTTTTTTGTTTCTTCAGCGCTAACTTCAAAGTCAAAAGTTGCATTGCAGGCGGCGAGTAGATTTGAAGAATTAACCGTTATTACGTTTGAAATAAAAGAATCGTAATGGTTTTTTTTTAAAATAAATAGCCGAAAAATCTATGAAACAAAAAGTAATTTAGCTCATAAACGACTTACGACCTTATGTTGCCGGCGATGTTTTCCACAAATAAAATGTGAGCTAGCTTTTTTATTTATGGTATAAAAAATATCAAAATAAAATTCTTAATTTTATGATACACGGAATACTATAAATTTTATATTGATTTATGTGAATATTTAATAAACTGCTTCGATATTCATAATATAATTAAATAGCTGAATGTATTTGCATCTTACACGTGCAAGCTTTTATACTTAGCAAGGATAAAAGCAGATCACCAAAATGATTAAGGATTAGTTTCTTTATCGCCTTACCAAAGTTTAATTAAATGATTAATTTTTCTCTTCTTTACGACCGTAAAGAGAACAAAAATTATTTCGTTTTGATTTATATTTTTTAATACGCAAAGCGAAAACTTTTTAAGGTTTGCGAATAGATGAACATCTTATAAGTGCTATATAGGAAGCTTTAGTTTTATAAAATTAAATCAGTCATTGCAGTTGCCGTGATGTCAAGAACAATTTCATTTCAATGTTAATACTCTATTAATGCGACAGTGTTATGTTCTATGAAATTAACTTAGTACGGACCAACACCCACTGTTACTGATTTTTGAGAAAATAATCTCAATCACAGATCTTCGCAAAGTTTTTATAATAGAACTATCAAAGTACCTTCTTATGAAGAGGTGGTGAATCTTATATCTTTAAATGAGCAATTCTTGTATATATATATATATATATATGCAGAAATCGGCTTCGACGATTTTCATAAAATTTAGTATATAGGGGGTTTCGGGGGCGATATATCGATCTAACTAGGAATCATTTTTAGAAAATGTCATTTTATTCGTGTTTAATCGATAATAAACTTAAACATAAACTTAACTTTTTCTATCGGTAAGATCGAGAAATATTATTCATATTTCATCATTTTATTAGTAATTCTTACTTAAATATAATTTCCAAAAAACACGCTTTAAAAAAAAATACCGAGCAAAGCTCGGTTATCCAGGTACTAGATGTTATGTAGTAATCATCGGTCTATGCCCTGTTCCCCTGTTATAAGGAAAGTGTGAATATTTCACAAGTACCTTTGCATTTTGAGGACTGGGAAAGTATGGTACGCATGCTGGAAACCCGATAGCTCGGCCACACGTGCTCACGCTATGAATGGGCCCAGCGCGCCGCGGGGGTGGCGTGCCCGGGGCACGGGCGGGAAGGACGGGGGAGGGGGCACGCCGCGGGGAGAAGGCTTTTTTCAGGCAGTGCATTACGGGCCACGGGTGAAGGCGGGTGTCCCGAGCCAACGGGCTCTCGAGTCGTTTACATTTATACAAAAAAAATTACTAAAATACATTTCATCCGTCTAACGATTGCAGATTCCGGTTGATTTAAAAGGTTAGTCCGCATATAAAACGCGTTGTAAAAATAAAATGTAACTTTATAATTCAACAAGTCGAATTTAGTATTCATGCATTCAAACTGATCGTGTATATGTAATAGTTCGATATTCATTAATTATTCATCCGTTAATTATGTAAAATAATTCATCTTTGTGTTATTGTAACAGATAGAACATATCGCGATGGAGCCGGCGCCGCTGTCTAAGACGGCCAAGTACAAGAAGATAACGAAGCCGCTTTTGGAGAGGAAGCGGCGCGCGCGCATCAACCGCTGCCTCGATGAACTCAAGGACCTCATGGTGGGCGCTTTAGAGGTACGTCTAGTGTTTATTATTACGTTATTTCATATTTTTAATGGTTTAGAAAGTGTGGCTTTAATACAGTTATAAAATGATTTTGTGAATACATAACGTTAAAAATGAGAATATCGATTATGTTTTAAAAAAATTAAATTACACACCGATGTTAATTATATAATATTTTTTTAGCTCTAATTACTTCACTATACATGCGCTTGATATTTTCTATCAATTAATTTTTAAACACAAAATTATTAATTAGCCAGCATTCAGTACGAGACTGTATAATTAATTTAAAAAAAAACGTTCATCATTTAAAATGTAATCCATCCTCCATTCACACGCCGTTTATTTTATTGCGACCGGTCGTCCTTCTTATAACTCGGATATGTACGGAGCGACCGAAACTGGAATACAAAAGTGCAGGCCATTAATAAACAGGATGGTCCGCTCACACTCCGCTGCTCGGACAGTTATATTAATATGAGACCTCTCCTAGCGTAACGTGAGAAACTATTGCACCTGCTTCATTTAATGTGTTTAATCCTTTACAGATCGATGACGACAACTTAAGCAAACTCGAAAAGGCCGATATCCTAGAATTAACGGTAAACCATCTCACTAAACTACATACCCCTAAGGACCCAGTTTTGGAAGCAAAGAAGTTTCAAGCCGGTTTTGGACAATGCGCAGCCGAAGCTTGCAGGTTCATCATGTCGGTTCCAGATTTGGATGAGAAAGTCAGTCAGAATCTAATCAGTCATCTATCAAGGCTTATCACGTCACAGCCTTTGACCATACATGTGCCGGAGAGACCGCCTTTTTCTCCGCCAACCTCCCCGTCTTCAGTTGTATCCGATCGCCATCATTACTACAGCGATCACGAGCGATCTTCGTCGGATGCAGAAGATTCAGTATACTCGGGAGATGGAACAAAACAATGGTCTTATTCTAGACAAGCGAAGGCGCAGCCTAAACCGTACCCTATGGCCGGTCTCCTCACCACAGTCGATAAACTACAGCAGCCGGTACAAGAGCCTAGTTCCGGACGGAATGGCTACTTCAACAGAGTCCCGGCTGAAGCAAAGGATGCTATTTTACAAAAGATAAGGCAACACATAATGGACAAACGGGGGAACGATCACAGCCCCGTTGTTGACTTTAACGATCAACCCGAACCAAGATATATGCCCAGAGAAGATGCATACAGACCTGAATACGATTACCAAATGGCATCGTATCCCAGTAACAACGACACACTAGACTTGAGAAAGGTTAAATCGCCTGTGTCGGTGAGCGAGGTCGCACATTCACCGAAAAACTTTGAACAGCGCAACGCCAATGAAGAATCGACGGTTTATAGTAAACCCAATGCGGCCAGTCTTCCGGAACATTGCGAGTCGCCAATGGATTATAGCAACTTGCCACCAAAAAAGAAAAGGAAACTGATCGAGTACCAGGAGTATAAAAAACAGGAGGAGGCTAAACGACAACTTGACGCTTTTTATGCCGAGAAAAAAGATCACCTTCGGCCGGGACCTCCGGCGGACGAATTGGACGCCAACAAATGGCGCCCGTGGTAATTCCTGTCTTTTAATGTCATTGTCATTGTGATATTTCTTCCATTATAAAGCTTTAATTTGTTTAAGTTTATATTATAATGTTTTATAATTAGTATAAGATTCAAAAGTGCCTTAATAATATAATTTAAGCCAGTTATAGGACGGGTTGTAATTACATCGTCGTGCCATTTATTTGATCTCGTCTTCCTTAAAATTTAAGATTATTTTTTTGTAATCTTCCAAAACAAGAATGTTCTACGTTTTATTAACTTTAATTTATTATCAACCGTGAAATCATAAATATTTAAGGTTGATTATTTATGACTAATTGTTATATCAGTGTGATTTTATTTTAACGAATAAAATTGATGTAATAAAATAAAAATTACTTTTCTTGAAAAATATCGACTTACATTCAATATCATCCGCCAATTTCTTCCTTCACTTTTAGTCAAAATCTGAAAAAAAAACTAAAGTCAATTGCTAGATAAACTAAAAAAAAAGTTTTTTTACTTTTTTCGGATTTAAAAATAACTATTAACATCAAGTACCGTGTTACAAAAGTGTAATAAAGATAAAACTGAACTGAATAAATAAAAAACAATTTTAATTTACTTTCCATATCAAATCACTGTTCAATATATAAAGTATTCTAATTTGCTAATTAACTTAAAGATTTAAAAATTAACATAATCATCATAATACAATATGCAAAAGTGCTACTTTAATGCATGTATTTGTAACAAATAATTTAGCATATTATTTTAATATTCCAATTAACAATTTTTTTTTAATGATAATTACTTAATTTTTAAACACATTAATTTAAATAATCTGGAATATTAATTTTAGAGGATTAAATATTACGCTGAAATAACAATTTTTATATATTTAAGTGATTATTAAATGCATCATATTAACTTACTTTGGTTAATAATTACCAAAACAATAATTTACTCGTAAGTCTAGAAAAATTAGTACAGGTTTGATTTGGCACGCTCAGTGACATCTATCAAATGTTAGTAAAAAATAATATTTTTTTATTGTTTCGATTGCCACGCCATCTATGATAGATTTCTGCAACTTGGAACATATTTATCATTAAAGGAAGTTCGATGTAAATTTTTACAAGCGGCATCTTTTGAAACATATCAGAACTACGAATTTGTAGCTTATTATTTTACAGAATAGATGGCACGGGAATTAAGAAATTACAAAAGATAAAATAAACGTGTGTTTTAAAGCTCTTTTACTATGACAAACATTTAAATTCACCTAATTAAATTAATAAATAATAAAATTAAACAGTTACATAGTAAACAGATTATTCAAACATTTGTTCCCATGTAATAAATATTTTGCTAATATATTTTACATCTAAATATAGGGATAATATAAAACGTATAGTTATTCTATAATAAAAACAGTTTCTTTTTTTTTCCAAATTACATGTTCAAAATATGTAAAAAGTAGTAAAAATAGTAAAATACTTTTCAAGTGGTATTTTGTAAAGTTTTTGCTACTGGTCAATAGAGGGCGGTAGCAGGAACTTGTCTTTAATCTAGATTGTTTATTATTGTTCACAAGTAGTTGGGTGGTGGGGAGGACAAATCAAGCTCACGCATGCTTTTTTCATTCATTGATACGTCAGCTGGTCGAGCGGAGTAGTTCGTCACTGCTTAGCGGATACTTGCGTGCGATAGACAAGATGCGTTACGCGCGAAATGTAACGATAAATTTCGAATTTTAAAAACAAACGAACTGTCATCTTTGGCGTTAAATTTAAATTATTTGACAACTTGACATTGTTGTTAGTTGCTGAATTATTTTCGTGAATAAGTGATGTTTTGTGTGTTGTGAGGTGTTTGATTTTAAAATGTTGTGGTGAATCGGGCGATGCTTGTTGGTGAGCAGTCGCCGGCGCCGCGAGTGGTCGCCGGCTTGCGAAAACTGCGCCCAGAGCTCACACCAGGACCATTTCCAACGCCTGATGACCCTGACTTCAGGATATCAGGTCAGTTTAATACGGAATACTAGTGATTATTTAGTCGTAGAACGATATGAATTTAATTGCATTATTTTTCTTTTATAAAACTTGTTTTATGAGCAACAATCATAAGGTAAATATTTTTATATTTCTCGAACTCTTATAAACCGTTAGCTAATCTTCTATTTACCTAGTTTTACTAGTAATAACAGTACACTAGAAAAAACAAATACGTTATGTTTCCCTATTATGAAAGATATCGGTTATCAACTTGCGCGCTAAAATTCGTATAAAGCTAAAAGTGTGTCAACATGAACCAAAATAAATGTCGATAATCTATGCTATACATATTTTAAGCAAAACCTTATTTATATTCTGACTGATATGAACCGAATACCTAAGATAAACAGGTGACTTTTTATCTTTACACTTTGTTGCTTTTATATGTGAAATGACATTAGTGTATCCACAAGTTCACACACTAGCCCATTGTTTGAGAAAAATTAACTAGACGACAAAGAAAAACGCTTCGAAACGTAAAACATGTAAACTTTATTTGATTAAAATTTACCCTTCAAACAACATGATATTGAACGATGATTATTTCTACACGTTCAAAAATATAGCTTCAGTTTTTCAGACGGTTCTTATGATCGTGATATTCGGATATGACATTTTAAGGATAATCGGGTAATTTGTTCGATTGGCGTTCTGTTGTCCCAATAAGGAAATTAAATTTTATAATTAAAAACATAGTCAGTGAGAGAGATTTTGTTTGCTTAATATATAATAATCTGCTCGTGCTATATCATATAATATTAACTAAATCCTGTAATTAGTTAATTACACATAACCTTTTAAAGTAATTAACAGCATTTTTACTAAAAAAAAAGAGAGTTCCAGGAGGAATTACATCGACATTATTAAAAATTATGTTATATTTATAATTAAACGTGGTAAATAATATGGCTAGTCTAAGAATTAAAATATTAAAATGACATAGAATTGTTTTTAAATTAAACGTAACGACCATAATTGTAGTTTTTACCCTATTATGAAGTGCACATGCTGAGTTTAGTAAACTTAGACCCGAACACTGGCTGCTAAAAGACAAAATAAAACGTAATCCCTTTATCGTACACCATCCTATCTGAATGAAGATATCAATGTTTAACCCGGAGGCCGATATGGTCCACGCAAACCCGAGAGGTAGCACACCCTATTATCAGCTAATGTAGTTATGCAATCTGCAACTTGATGCGTTGTGTCCGGATGTGTGACGTTAGCACTAGTTGGTCTACGCCTTTACATGCTTATAATAATAATAGTGTGAACGTAACTTAATATAAACATTGTGATTAATTTACATTTTTTGCATACTACATTATGAATTGCGACATGAATAAAGTCAATTGCTTGAATTATACATACGTCTGTAACCAGTATTCGATTAACTATTTTTGCTTATTCAGTTCAAATTTAACCCAACAATCTTAGTAGTAATCGAAATACTCGATCTATTGATTCAAGGGCGATCGAATATTTTTTTTTTATTCCGTATCATAAGTAGTAATCTCACTTATGTTATAAATGCGAATGTTTAGATGAATGGATGTTTATTAGAAGGTATCTATAGAACCGCTAAACAGATCTCGCTGCGATTTGGCTTAGATGTAGAACATAGTCTGGAAGAACACATAGACTACTAATAAGGTATTTTTTAAATCCGCTGGAAGGAGTCGCGGGCGAAAGCTAGTTTAAAATTGTTTCAGGATAGTTTCAGCATCGACCATCAATTTCAACCGTAATTTGAATATCTAATAAGCCTTCAGATTTGTGCGTATAATAAAATGGAAGTTGTCTTCTCCAATTCATACAATAATAGCGACACACAGAAAGCGATGCGTGCGCTTTATTTATTAAAGCATGTTTATTGTAGATATTGGTATCAGCGACAGTCAAAGAGACGACGCCCAAAAGTCAATATTGTGCCAGTCTATACCTCAGACACTGATAACGAAAGAATCTATGAAAAGGGAAACGAAAGGGAATGAGATATATCAAGGTTAAATATTGTTGGCGTTAACAATTTTTTCGCGTGCATAGCACTAACTTTACTAATCTAGTGTAAGCACAGAGCCTTACAGTCGGGACGTATAGTAAGCTGATGAGTACTAAACAGTACAGTTGATCGACTACTTATTATTTGCTATTACAAATGTGTACTTAAATTAATGGGATATTCGGAATCTAACCTTGAAGTGTCGTCCCTTTCATTTTCTTTGAAAAAACAGGGATAACAGTATATTTAAAAAAACGTTTAGACGAACAATAAGGTATGACTCAGATCGATAAGTTAATTGAAGGATTTAGAAAACCGTTTGAATAGAAGTCCGTTTATTTCTGCCCATTTCTTTTGGTGTCGTTTAAGATGGCGGAATTGTTGATTATACTCGTATCATCATAGTATTGTAAATCATTCTTTCTTTTACGCTATAGACGTCAAGTTATCTTTATTATAATAATACTGTTCATTTGTTTAGACTGCCATTTACCTTTCACCGACACATATTCAGTATAATCTCATAATATTTTTTATTGAATATAATTATATTTGTAATATTTATCTATACAAGTTAAATATAAATATATATATATATATATAGATGGTGAGTATACATATTATTTTTGTTATAATTTACATCACAGATTAAATTGAAATAAACTATTCGAATGTAATATTTCTGTCACGTTCAAGTAAACTTTATGTATAGAATAATTACTTTAATGATTGACCAAAGTATATTATGTACAGTATATATTTATGTTACACGAATATTTTCCTTCCTCATTCCTTCATAAGCATTTTGTAGGATTGTTAACGAATATATCTATGTTATTAAGTAATTAAGAATGACCACATAAAAGATCAGAGTGAAGTTGAAGTAATTCTACGTTTCGTCTGATGAGTGTGCGTGCTGGTGCGCTAATTTTAGTCCACTTTCTCTTCCCAAAATTCGATTATGTCGAAATGATGGGAAGGGGAAGTGGATTTGACGGAAAAAAGGTTGCATAGGAAGGGGAAACATCCTCTTTCAGGGCCACCCCCCTGTTGATTAAAGGTAGGCAACACATCTGGAATTGTTGATGTCTATGCGCAGCGGTCGCTTCGCTATTACGGCAAATTCAGGCCTTTTGCCACCTTATAAAAAAACGAGTCAGGTTTAGTTTATCTAAAAAGGTTTATATCTCTAACCTTACCTCAATTCTATAAAAATGTGAATTATGATTCGCCGTAACGCATTGTATGATGCGGGTATCCCATAAC